TTCTAGCTAGCTCAGTCGGTAGAGCATGAGACTCTTAATCTCAGGGTCGTGGGTTCGAGCCCCACGTTGGGCGCCAAATGTAGCTAGATTTTTCCTGCCTTGCCCACAGTCAGGACAAACTGGAACCAGTGCTGTGGCTGACTGGCTTGCCTGTCCATCCATCCATCCATCCATCCATCCATCCATCCATCCATCCATCTGTCTGTCTATCTAAAGTACTCTTTCCAGATGTGGTGGCCCATGCCTATAATCCCAGAATTTGGAAGATGGAAACAGTATCCGGAACTCAGGGCCTTCCTCTCTGACAAAGTGAGTTTGAGACCAACCTGAGCTATTTAAGAACCTGTCTCGGAAAAAACAAAAAAACAAAAACAAAAACAAAAACAAAAAAAAACCAAGGGGTGGATGGGACTCTTTTGTTCTTTGGTTGTCACTAAGATGAGGAAATTGTGCTGGATTCTGTTGGGTGCCTTCATGAGGGAGAGAACTGAGATACAGAAGAGATGATGTCATCACAGAGGTTGAGACTGGAAGGATGTAGCCACATTCTCTCCTGAGACTCTAGAAGGACTACGAGACTTCTGGTCTCCAAAGCGGGGAGAGAGTAAATGTATTTAGTGTCTGCTGCTTGTCACCCTGCCGGAGGAAATGCCACACAAGTGGTAATAGTGTGGCCCATTGTAACCAGCTCTGAGGGGTCCGGGTATGCTCCTGTGGCTCTCTTCCATCTCGACCACACTTCTACATTAGTCTCGCTGTGCAACTGCCTTCTGATTGTCCAGATGTATGAACAGCATTTCCTTCCATGAGTCCCTCTGACCTGGACATCTATTCAGCCTTGTTGCCCCCATGTCTCAGAGCATACTGAACTAACCCACTCCAAAAGTTCAATCAAGAACAGCAGTCTCCTCCGATTTCCCAGGAGTCACTCTAAAAGCAAACATATCCCAATGGTAGCCAAGTGGGCAGTTCCAGGCGAGAGGGCCACAGCAGAGTTAGGTTTTCTCTCCCTCCCACCCGCATGCCTGAGCCCAGGGCTGCAGTACCAACTTGCCATCAGCTGGAGCCACTGAATCTACCAGCTCCATAGATGGCCCTGTTCTTCCTGTCCTGTCCTATAAAGTAACACATTTCCACATCAATTCTTCCCTTTAGAGCTGGGGTTATGCCACACTAAACACTGGAAAATTCGTATAGCTAAATGTTGCTGCAAGGCAGAAATGGTCCAAGGGTCCTGGTACTAAAAACAAAAACAAACAAACAAAAAAAAAACCCCACAAAACTTGACTCGAAAGCTCTCATGGGTCCAGCGAGGTAGTTCAGTAAGTACCATTACTTACCCCAAGCCGGGCAATCTGAGTTCAGATCCCCAGGACCCAGATGGTGGGAAGAATCAACTCCTGCAAATTGTCCCCTGCCCTGTACACACACACACACACACACACACACACACACACACACACTGTGGCACGTACATCTCCCACCCCAAATAAATAAGTATATTGTAATAAGAAATTTAGGAGGTTTTATGATGCCTGTTCTTACACTGGAGAGTAAGAATAACTACGGATGCAGTCAGTTGCCACACAGAAGGAAGAGACTCCAAGGAAAAGCAAGAAGTAGCAATAGTAGCAAGGTAAAACAGTGGTAACTCTTGTGTACACACAGCTGGAGTCTGGAGATCACCAAACGTCTATAAAGCTGCCTTATAATGGCGCCTCCCCAGGGCCGTTAGATGGGTTAATTTCCTTGAGAAGTTCATAGTTACATGCACACAAAATAGAAGGGGAAAAAAGCCCCAATAGCAGAAGCCAGAAGTCCTTTTCCCCATCATGGGAAAGTCAAGTGAGAACTCACTGGGGCTACACATGTTCTCTTTTTGTTCTGTGATTGACCCTGCATTTGGGGAGAAAGGCATGGCCACCAGGTCAGTGGGAGGACAGTTCAGAGGTTGAAAAAGAAGGAAGAGCCATGCCTAGAAAATATTTCATAAAGTGGAAGCATTTACCCCAAATGCTAAAACCTGTATTCTTGTGAAGCATCACCTGAGACTGTGGCAGGAATGTCCAGGCACGGAGTCTAAAGGCTGGTTGAAGGCTTTGGGGAGTGATGATAGCATATTAAACCTCCCCACCGCTCGTCAACTCCAGACACAGTAAGCAGACATCCTTTAGTGAGTGTAGATAGGTTTCTCAATCAAAATCCGTTCTCATCAGCTGAAGAGCCTAGAGATTGGCTGGTCCCACTTGGGATTCCTCTATAAAACAGTAACATTCATCAGAGGGAACCAAATTAATTCACAATAATGGGTGATTAGTCTTTCCACAGCCCTCTGAGAGGAAGAGGCCCAGGGTGGTGCAGAAGAGAGAGATCAAGAGAACCCTGTTTGGGAAGGCTGCTACAGGTGAGAAATGCAAGTCGGGAAAGCAGGCAGAAGGGATGGGAGACTAATTGCCTCTCTCTGTAGTCCTTCAATCTCTGCTTCGCTCTCTTCACTTAGACAATGCTTCAGTTGAGGCCTCCCTTCCCCTCTGAGCTTTCCCAACATACCGGAATACTAATTCTACAAGATTCTTAGAAAATTTGGTGGCCAATAAGTTTGAGAAATTCTGGGTTTACAAATGAATGCCTCTAAGAGGTCTTGCTTTTTGGAATCCTAGTTTTTATTAACGTAAGCCAAGCTCTCCTATGTTTCTTTTGATTAAAACAATCTTTGGCGCATGTGTATCATCATTTCTTGGCAGTATCTTCTGAGAACTGCTTCTCTGATACCCGTGGATTTCCCTGCAAATATTTTGTGATTGGTTGTTTTTAGGTGGGAGTCTCACTGTACAGCTCAGATAGACGAACTCAACATATTGAGTTCTGGAATTACAGATCAAGGCACCACAGCCAGCACTGGGGGGTTTTAGAGACTGTGGACCCAATATTTCTTTCTTTAGCTATCTCTGTAGCTAATTGCCAAGCTATAACATGTGAGCAAGAAAGATCTTGGTCTGTCTTCTGCTGCAGCAATAAAACACTTGAACCCATGTAATTTATAATGGAAGGTTTGGGGCTTGTGTGTTTGGGGGCTGGAACTCCAAGAGCTTGGTACTGGGATTTGCTCAGTAGTTGTTACGGTCTTTGTGTGCCACATAGTGGTGAGGGCACTTCCTAATCAGACTGTGATGGTTTGAATGAGGGTGGCTGCCATAGGCTCAGACACTTGGCTATTTGGTCACACATTGGCAGTGTGGTTTGGGTAGATTGAGGAGGTGTGGCCTTGCTGGAGGAAGTGTGTCCCTGGTGCGGGCTTGGAGGTCTCAGAGCCATGTGCCAGTCCTAGTTCGCTCTCTCTGTTCTTGCAGGTGGTTCAAAATGTGAGCCCTCAGCATCCTGTGCCAGTCTGCTGCTTACTGCCCTGCTTCCATGCCGTAACAGAGGGGCCTCGCCCTCTGGGACCCTTCAGTGCAAATAAACCCTTCCTTCTGTGGATTGGCTTGGCCATGGTGTTTTATCACAGGAATAGAAAATGAGTTAATTCAAGACAAAGCAAGCGTGCTAACTTAGGACTCTGTCCTTCATATAAAATGAGTGATGCCATCATGGGTCCCACCTTCATGGCCTCATCTAGTCCTAATCACCTCCCACAGGCCCTACTCCAAAGATTGCTAACATGAGTTTGGAGGTCAAATTTCAACAGATGCGTTTTGTGGGAGCACATCTACATGACAGCAGAGAAGGGTCAATGAATACCCGGGGGACACTCGGTTTGCTATTCCTACTCAGTGATGAGGATGGAAACGGCACCACACATTCCTCACCCCAGAGTTAGCAGATTTCCTCCAGAATACAATGGCCTGTGCTAGCTTTTATTAGTCTGACTTGGAGACTGGTTCCTGCTGAGCTGTTATCAGCAGAACTTGGCCCTCTTTGAAGCAGTAGCTTCCTCAGTATGCTTCTTTCATTGCTTTGTAATCTTTGGAAAGAGCCCAAGCATCTCTCTTCTCTAAGCAGAACTGGTTTGGGAAAACTGTTATTCCTGGCCAGAAAATATTTCACAAACAGTCATCACAGCTGTAACTGGATACTTGGGATGTTGTCTGAATACCACCCAAAGACAAAGTCTTTGAGATCGCAAGAGAAAGATCCAAGGGCTTACTATAAAATTTTGCTACTCGGAGTGAGTTTTGTGGGCCAGAAGCCCCAAACCACAGAGGACTTGTTAGAAACGCAGATCTGAGGTCACATCCTAGACCCAGTGAGCAGTCCCTGCCATTGAGAAGCTCTGCTAAGTGATCTGTGGACACACAAAGCCTAATACACATCAAAGTTTATCTTACCACATGTCATTAGTTAATCCATTTAGTAGTAAGCAATTATTGAGTATTCACTGTATGCCCACTTGTCTTCTAGGTATTGGGGACATAGTAGCAAAATAATAGCTAAGTCTCTTCCTCCCATTATTGTGCCGTTACATTCTGGTAGGGCAGATGAACAAACACTTTTAAGAAAATAGGTGTTATGCAGTGTGAGATGCTTAAGAAACTATTGGGTAATGAACTAGAAAGTGACTGGAAGTTGGAGGTGAGAGGCAGCGGCAAGAGAGGACCTGTCTGGACAGAGGCCTGCATAGTGAGGGTCAGGTCCCAGGGGATAGAGGCAGGTAAATTTTAAGCAGGTAGCTGTTAGAGCAAAGGACCTGAGGTGAGTTTGAACTCAGATACAGAGAGAAAGAAGACCAGGGTGGCTCGTTAAGAGACACAGAGTTCAGAGAGACAGAGAAGAGCCGGGTCCATATGTTTTCAAATTCACTGCTCTTTGAAATCCCATGTTGGAAGGCACGACAGACACAGATTGCTAGGGCTTCCCCTGGAGTTCATGATTCGGCAGCTGTGGAGGAGGGGGCCCAAGAATTCACATTTCTGATAAGCTCCAGGTGCTGCAGTGGTGCTGGTCTGGGTACCTTACTTGTAGGGCCACTGGGGTGGGGCCTGGTTGGTCCTTGTAAAGAGTTCAGTGTGGTGGAAAGCCAGCAGAAGATTCTGAATGGGACAGTGACCTGGTCTAGTTTCCGTTTCCTTAGAAGAGAAGGC